ATCTTCTGTATTGTTGAGAGTCATTACATCGTAGATTATTAGATGACACATTATTATAAGTGAAGTTGACGTATGAAAACTATATATAATCACATAAGAAAGGGTTATATTATATACATACCAGCAGTAGGAATGGTAATGATTCAAGGCATATTGGGGTGATATCTTTTTTGTGGGTTATCTATCCAACTTTTAGGTTCTTTTCAAGACTGTGTAGTTGCATTATGAACAGAGATGATTGGGCACGAGAACACAACATCATTGTGAGGCCTTTTGTTTCCAACTGCGAAGTCAATTGATAGCCTCTTTTAGAGCATTAATTGAGTATGGAAAGGGGGGGGACCCTCCATAGGCCAAAGGCTAAGGTAAACCTAACCTAATCTAAAAAAAAAAGAACCAAAATGCGGTTTGTAATGATGAACCACCACCTTAATCAGAGGATATTCACACTTTTTTCAAGAAATTGCTTTTGTTATGATATTTTAAGTTTTTTATGCAAACTAATCTAGTAAATAGCTTGTGGATCCTTTTTAATATTGAAAATTTAATTACTGCTGCATACTCATACTCAAACTTAAATTTCTAATCAAGCTAGACAAACTTCTAATTAATTGAACCAAGCACCAGTGATCATAACATTAATCCAAATGCTTTCTCCATTTCCACTTGGTGGATGGCAGATTGGTCTGAAGATGACCCACAGACAGATAGATGCATGAAACTTGAAGGGGATTTTATGTTAACTCAAACCCATCACTATATTTCACTATTTGCACACTTAATTTTTTATTTGATACTCAACCCCCTAAAAAAAAAAAATCTTTCTCTCTATACGTCTGTGTATCACATTTTTAACAAACTTGTTAAGACTAAGAAAATTAGTTAAATTTAATTGATATTTTAAACCCAATGTTCTTTATTATTGCCCTTAATTAATTAACTACAATAAATTCTAATCCAATCTCACTCATTTCTTATAGTCACTTTCTCTATCATAATATATGCATATTATTTTTTTTTGGTAAAATCATAAATATATACTCACTCTGTTAAAAAATATAAGGTATTTTTAACTGAATCTCACCCTTAATAAAGTAGTTAGTTACTTTCAAACTAACCCTATATTTTTATATTTATCTCTCTTAAATATTCTATAATAAATATAAAGTCATTCATTAATAAGTACACTTTAAAAAAAGATAATGATTACAAATCAAAATTAAAAATGCTTTACATTTTTTAATATCTAATTTCTCAAAAAATATCTTATATTTTTGAACAGATGGAGTATATATTAATGCCAATAGCATCAATGAAAAAAAATTAGTTTTTTTATAAATTTTGTAAATTGACTTATTAATAGGACCATAAAAAGCTTCTAGATGACTATGAATAAGATTGGAGAACATGTATGTATGTATGTATGTATGGTATCCAGTACGATTTGATCAAATTTAAGCAATCTCATGTCAATTGATGATAGCTCTTTCAACATGATTTCTAAAAATTTAGAAGATGTGAATTCTTGGCATTGCTTTAAGGAAATCAAGTCTCTTCCATTCCAGTCAACCATTATTTTTTCCATTTTTTTTATTTTATTGATTCTAGTTTCTGAATGTGGTTTATTTAAATTTAAATGGCTTAAGTATATATTTAGTCTTTTAATTTGATACAAGATTTTATTTTAATTTTTAATTTTATAAAGTGTATTTTTAATTTTTTAACCTTAATATCGTTAGTTTCATTACAAAAATTTTCTACATTTAACTTTTAAATATTAAAAAAAATTCTCAAATATTTAAATATTAAGTTTATTTTTTTAAATAATAATGATTGACATAAAAAAATAATTATTTAAAACCAACAATATTATGATTAAAGGATTGAAAATATACTTTATAAAATTAAGAAATTAAATTAAACCTTATATAAAGTTAGAGCATTTAAAGTATACTTTAGCCAACTTAAATTACATTAGGTGTCTTTAATGAATCATAAAACTGAATTGCTAGTGAACCTTGCTTAATTATATTGATGAATCAGATAATTGTGTGCATAAAATAAAATTAAATAAGAATGTATTTTTATGTCGTGAAAACAACTCTAAATTGAAGTAGTGAACTGAATGTATAGCTAACCAAGATTAGACGCAATCAATCATTACTTAAACATAATTACAAATATGGATCATTGTCAACAAAATCATGCTGCTTACACATTTTTTCTTGTAAGCTAAAGACAATCAAGTGTTTGACAATTTTGACAATTCTTGACTAAGGACACATTATTTTGTATTTCTTCAATTCTATATCCATAATTAATTTTTTTTAAAAAATAATTCATCAAAACACATAAAAAAAACTAAAAAACCTAGCACCAATCATTGCTGTGCCAAAAAAAAAAATAAAGAAACTTTTTCGTGAATCTTACATTATGGAACTACTTTACAAGTTGGATGATTTATCAATGTGCAAGTCGAGTTTTGTTTGGATGCAAGAGGTGCATTATGAGATGGGGACCCAATGGGAATTGAATTGAAGAAATGGATGGACGTGGATGTATGATTCAGCTATGATAGTGAAAACTTTGCATAATTAAAACAGCAGGACACTTGAGTGCTTTTGCCAAAGCAATCAAATATACAATAGGGAAAATTGGCTACAAGGACCACGAGGTTCAAATATTTGGGCATGAGGTTCAAATATTGAAATAAAACTTGCAGGGACCATAGTCCTTGAGAGACAATATGTTTTCAGAAGAAATATCAAAATATATTTCTTTTCTCAGCATTGATGTAGAAGTCCTTCATAAATCTTCAATAATCTGGATTTGGATTTGGCAGTGACCTAAGTCTACTTATTCAACAAGTTTCTTGATTATAATACTTTAAAATTATCAAGATAAATATCCCTCCAAAAATTTAAAACAATACTCATAATTAAAGCACTTCTCATACATGTTTTAGTATTATATGACAAAATTTTTTAAAGTTGTTTGATTAAATCAAACTATTATTTTTGTGTCACATGAGAAATTATTGAGTAAAGGAATTTAAATCACTTATTGAATTCAAATCTAAATAATCTGTACTATAAAGACTGGTGTAAAAAAAAGCTATTTTGATATTTTTACTAAAACACATATTGCCCCTTGAGGACCATAGTTCTTTTAAGCTTTACTTTTACATTTTGAACTCATGCCCAAATATTTTTACATATTGTCCCTTAAGCTTTTCTCCTTCTATCTCTATATATAAAAAATATTTTAAAACATTTTTTATCTTTAAATATAAAATGTTATTAGTACATTTTTTTAATAAATGGACCATTGTATCTTTATTAAATTGAAAAGAGAAAAATATAAATATTTCATTAATTTACTTTGAAAACAGAGATTTATTTTTTGTTTATAATAATTAAAAGTAAAATTAAAGTGTTATTATGCTTTAAATTAAATAATTAATTTTTATTAATTTATGTAATTCAGTTGAAAATATTTTACGTATAAAAACGGATGGAGTATTTTTAAGCTTTTTTGTCGTTGTGACCAATTTTTCCATGATATGTTAAGATTAGGCGGAGAAGTAAGAATGATGATTGTGTTGTAATGTGGGAAGACACGTCCCGCAAGCGCCGTTCAATCATGCAAGCCTTTTAGGTCAAAGTAATAATCCTTCCCTGTTTTTAAGAGATTAATTTTTGGAACCTTAAAGCATCTCTGTCTTCTAGTGGAGCAAAGCTACTACATTACATACATCTTCCTCATTACTATTTCTTTTTTTAATTTTTATTATTTAATGTATAATGTTCTGGTTTTGTTTGAGTGGAATTAATGGATTGTCAATCTTATTGTTATGTTAGCGCATGCCCAAAATTGTACATAAATGAATGTTACTTCATCATAACCAATGAAGAACAAAGATAAAAGAGATTGTGAAAAGGGAAATCAGGTGTCTAGCTTGTTTCTAGTCCTTTCCTAAAACATTATATGAACACTCCATAAAGTGAAAAACGATCTTAAAATTCAAACATATGAAACTAAGTTCCATGCAAAATGCATGTATGTGTTATTTATTTGTCAAATGTCTTATGAATGAAAACAGAAGGAGTAATTCAAAGTTTTTGAATAAGAGAAGGTTTAAATATAACCAATCAAGATTAAAGTTTACCTAAATGTCTAGCAAGCTAAATTTAGAATTGACTATCATATTGTACTTATCTTTCAAAATACATTTAGATTGCATAAGCCATGAACTTGACCTGATTTGATACTTAAAATTTTTATAATTTTTAGCAGTGTTTTGAAGATCAAATTGGTTATTAAACAAGACATGTAATCAAAGTTTACTTAATGATAGTTAAATTGATTGATCATTAAATAATGATATAATTCACTCAAAATCATTATTAATAATGTAGCAAGACTGATTTCTATGTCCAAATTAGAGTGGCAAGCAAGTTTCATTTCATCATATGCAAATTAATTTATCATCGTTCCCCTCACCAACTCAATTGGACATGCTACATATACTGCATGTTTATGAATTTTTAAATTTAAGAGTCTTTTGCATATCATAAAGATATTGAAGTTATATCAACCATTCTTAACTAACCTAAGTGCCCATTAAATGGAAGGAATATAATAACTACTGAATAAATTTTTGAACTTAAATCTCAAAAATCAAAAGAATTATGCCAGACAAATTTTCACTTATTGTTATTTAACTTAAATTAGAATTAGTACAAGTTAGAGCATTAGATAGTTATGAAGTATTATATGAAAATATGGATTAATCCACCTAATTGAACTTATAAATTCGTTAAATTAATGTTTTGATTGGTTTCATAAGATATTGTGTTTATTATCAATTTGATCATGATTAATTATAATTTTAAACATTAACTTTTAAATCAGTATTTTAACTGATTTAACTAGTTTGATTTTCAATAATTTTTTATAAATATATAAATTATAAAGACAAAGAATATATGAAAAGAAAGTAAGAAACACCCCCATGCAATATAATTATGAAAATCAGTAAGTTACACAAACCCTATTACTCCCATTTTACATATAATAATTTTACATAAAAGCCCTTATCCCCAAAGTCAGTCATCTTCTTCATCAATCCATCAAGTAGTTAACTTTGATGCTTTTGGGCAGACATGAACCCATGAATCCACCGCCTTCTCCACTATCCAAAACCCTAATTTCGCCTCCTCTACCTTTACCACCCCAACAAAGTCTAAAACCTATACCCTCTTTCTCCTTTCCTGTTTCTAAGCTTTTTTGAAAAATGTCTTTTAGCCATTTCTCAAACACACTGTTAGTAAAACTACCACACCCACCTGCTATTTCCTCTATCACCTTCTCTTCTATACTGAAACTCCTCCCATTTTGCTTCCCGTGAAGTTCTTCAAAGCTCCCTTTGATTTTCGATGAGAATAGCTCAGCGATTTCTCTCTCTCGAGCTGGACTTCGGTTCAACTCGAATTGCTTCTTGATTGACTCCAGAAACCCATTTGGGTCTGCGGGATCGGGCATTGTTTCTCGGGTCAAATCGCTTGAAATGGGGCTACCGCTACTCTCTCCTTCACCGTCTTCGTCGTCGTCTTCGTTGGCTTTCATGTTCAGATCAAGGGTGTTGAAGCTTGACTGTCTCGAGAAGTCCTTCTTTTTGTTCGATTCCTCTTCTTTCTCTTCGGCTCTTGGGTTTTTTATTTTCGCGAACAGATCGAATTCTGCTTTTCGCTTTTGGCCCACGACGCAATGTGTCTCCGAGTTTGGATTGTTTTCGCTGACCTGCAATGTTAATTGCATCACTGAGTCATGATCCTGTTCTTCGTTTATCGTTGAGCCACCTGTCGTCACCATGAATATTGCTCGGCCGAACTTTCCTGTTTCATAAATATCCGCGAGGAATTTTTTGAAATCGGTGTCGGCGAAATTAATGTTTTCGATTAAGACAACGAGTTCTTTATGCGCTTCCAAAGCTCTCCTCAGCATTTCAGAGAACGGAGATGCTAAGTTCTTGTTTTTCTTCATGTCCAGTTGAAAAAGCAGATCATCTGAGCCGAAGAACGATTCGGCAATTGCGCGACCCAACCTTATTTTCCCTACAGAGTCGTTGCCCTGCAAAATCAACCAAGCTGCGTTTTGCTTTTTTGATTGGTAGTCAACAAATAAAGACTCTGCTATTGAAGGGATTGTTTCAGACTGCCATGGCACATTCTCCTGCAACAGTTTACAAACATGAGCTCCTCGCTGTGTTGTATCAGTTGTATTTTCCTCCCTTTGCTCTGAACCACCGAATTGGGAATTCCCTAGAGCAAGAGTAATCTTTACTTCTTTACCTTCCATGCCCTTGAGAGAATCCAAGCTTGGTTCTTCTGCTGCTGCTTGCTGCTGTTTCTGAGTTCCATTGCTAAAATTTAACTCAATAGTGCATGATTGTTGGCGTCGGAATCGAGGTACAAGATTAGAGCTATGAGTGGATTTAACAGCAGAATCTGCAAATGATATACAGCTTGAATCTGGGAAAATACTTCCTTGCTTTGACCACAAGGGATATGAAGAATTGTAGGGATAAATCTTCCCGTTTGGACTGTGATTGGTGTATAAACTGTTGTTCCAATGGTTGTGGGAATGCTTGCTTTGGTGAAGATACTGACATAGTCTATTCCATTTTCTTCTCAACTCGGTTAATTCCTCCTGGAAACATTGAACTATTTATGAGCCACTACTTCTCTACTTAACGTAAAAAATATGTATAAACAAGACAAATGCTGATTCTGGCTTTAAAATGAAGTTTGCTACCTTGTGATGGGCTTCAATGCTATGAGACTGAAGCCATGAAGGCATGAGTTTGGGCTGGCCTGGCTTGAACATTTGAGCATCCTTTTCATAGTTAGAGGCACATTCTTGACAGCAAGTGAGCTTATCCTGCTCCTCCCTATAACTGAAGAGATTCTTTTCCAGCATTTGAGATGGGTTCTGGGGATTGGTCATTTTTGACTCAAGAACACTGCAAAATTGAGTGCAGAAGCCTTAATAAACATCGAAATTAATTAAGAAAATATACACTTATTTGCACATTCAAATTGAGTAATTACAAAATAATATTATACTCCTCACTAACTTTATTTAATTTCCTTTTGGTAAGCATGGTTTCTACTACCTAATGTCTTGAGAGGTTATGTACCGACAAAACAACTTCTGCCTTATACCAACCAACCATACTTTGGACAGCATGTACTAAGCAACAAAATGAATATTTCACGTGGTTTTCCTTTTTGATGCTTTCTCGCTTATCTTTAATGAGTTAGAAGTTAGAACCTTTAGGCTTAAGACAAGTAACACACTTGGCAAGAGATGATTAATTACCTGGAAGCATGAAGACTCAAGCCAAGTCCACCTGAAGGAACAAGAACTGCCTGAAAAGACCACTGGGTCTCGAGAGCAGGCTGCCTCATTTGACATCTCATGTATGTTTGGTAACTTGCAGTGGCCATCAACCATGCCTTAGCGCCTGACGAGCTTCCGTGGTCAGAGAACAACTTTCCTATTTCTGCAATTAGATGATCCACTGGGTTATATCCAGATGCTTCTCCTCCCTCCTCTTTTTCGCTAAAGAAAGTTGCCTCCACTGTCCATTTCAGATCTCCAATGTAAATAATGGCACCACCTCCTCCTGATGCAGTGGAATCCACCTTTCTTTTCAGCTCCAGTAGGTTCATTTCAACTTCATCTCTCTTCATAAACCTCAAGGAAACTGGTGCTGGAAGGAACTTGATGAAACGAGTTGACTTCAACTCATCAGGGACCTCTCCTTTGTCTAGTCTTCCCATCAACTGTCCCACGAGGCCTTCAGTGATGGACACAGAATCCCCAACTATCACAGCGTTCTTCTTCTTCTTCCTCAAGAGCACATCCAAAACCAACCTGATGTCTTCCCTAGATGAAGCTGGTTCAGTGATGGGGTACACTGGGGTTCTCTTCTGAGGAGAGAAAAGAACTTTGTTGTAGTACTCAGGAGTAGCGTAGAAGTGGGCCTGTCTGAAACTGTTGGAATTGATGGTTTCTCTCTGGTTTTCACTAGGAGAAGGAGAACAAGGAGAAGAAAAGACACCTCCAGAAGTTCCGTAACACTGGAAAACGGAACAAGGAGTTGAAACTGAAGAGTCCTCTATACTGCTCTTCACAGCAGTACTAGAGAACCCAGCCTCCCTCATAACCCTGCTAACACTAGGGTCATCAAGAATAGATATAACCAGCTGTTCAAGCTCTACCTTTATGGTCAAAAGTGGCTGCTGATTCTGTTGTTCTATACAACCCCTTCTCTGGTGAGCCTGAGCTCTTTTGAGAGCAGCAATGAGGGCATTTGACAGAGAAGGCTGCTGGGTGTGAAGCAGATTTGGAGTTGGTGTGGTTGGGAGCCTGTTGAGAGCCACATTGAAGCAGAGCTCAAGGGCTCTGCAGTGGAGAGTATGATGTGAATGCGGAGAAGTTTGATGATGAGGGTGAGATTTGAGACAAGCCCTTCTGAAGGAGCTGGCTCTAAGGCTGAGCAAGGTGGCTGCCACGTGGAGTGGAGTGACCTGGGCATGGCCCCTCCTGCGAGCCAAGCCCAGAGAATGCTTCAACACAGATGCAGCCTCCGATGTGAGGGTCTGCTGTAATGCACAACCTCCTGAGCGCATAACTTGGATAAACGCCACCCCCCTTCACCCCCCTTTTGTGAAAGAAACCCTTTTTTTGTCACAATGCTTCTTCTTCTTCTTGGTCTTCTTATTTCCTTATGTTTCTCTCAAAAACCCCCACCCCCTGATCTCTTTGAGTGATGTTATTGATGACCCGAATTAGGCCGGTTCGGTGTTTTTCGTTCCTCTCCTGTGATCAGAGGAGGCTGAAACTAAGAGTTAAGAGTTTTGAATATGGAGAGATATGTGGAAAGAAGGTGTTTTTTGAGAGGAAGCTTGTAGGAGCAAGTATAGTTGAGCTTTAGAAATAGCAGACTTTACATAAGGCCACAATACCACTGCCTCCTTTATACTTCTTGTCACTGCTTAATTGCTTCTTGTTTTTAACTTTTTCTTTTTCTTTTAATTCTGTTTTAGTTTAAAGGATCGGCTTTTTATTAGTTCTTTTTATTTCCACTTCGTCATTTAGTTTACTCTTTACAGTGTGCGGCGGGCCATTTCCGTCCATAAATGTTCATATAAACTCTGCCGCGTGTTCCTGATCCCAATCTGATACGTAAAATTTCTTCTTTCCAATTACACATTGTTTCTTTTTAATAATCATTTTTCTCTTCTTGATATGTAGGATACTATATTTATATTGGCCCAGGCACATTGTGAAATTTTAGCTTCATCACACACTATATATTACATATGGAAGGACAGAAGGCTGAACATTGCAGTCATAACAAATATATTATCATTACCATGCTTGGTCATATAGAGAGGGGAAAAAACTATAAGATTCTATATAGTGATGATTAGATAACATTTAGTTAAGACCTTTGTGGTATGTAATATAGTTGAACAAATTTGCGGTTGTATTGTCTTACAAAATACTGATTTGCAAATTGGGACCTCACATTTTTTAAATTTCAGATTAAACTCTCTCAGGCTTCCCTCCTTTTTCCACATCAGACTTTGAATAGACAGACAGTGCCAGCAGAAATTCAAAAGAGGTACTAAAGGGAAAGGGTGGAAAAAGAAACCACGCAGTGTGATCGAGGAATTTTTTTCCCCACAAAAAAAAAAAGTTTTATATTTTCTCTCCCTTTTCTTTTAATTTTTCTCCCTTGCTTTTCATTTATATGAATATGTACAAGTAGAAGTAATACCCTATTATCAGACTAAAATGTTAAAACCTCATTTTGGTTTTTGAAAGTGAACTAGCTTATTAGCTGATTTTGTATGATTTTAATTTTTAATGTTCTGAATAGTGTTTTTCTTTCTAGTTCATCCATCGAGGTTTTAGCTAAAATAACTATATACATATATACAATATTTTGAGAAAAACTTGGCTAGAAAAACTGCATCACAACCCTCTTACTTTTTAGATACTCAAACGATATTATACGTATAGTAATCAACTGAGATCATTTGCAGAATATTATTAGAATGTAATTTTGGTTAGTGTTATTGTTAGATTGCTTGTGAAGAGAGAGAGAAGAGGCTGTATCTCTCTCTCTCTCTCTCTCTCTTTTCACGCCAATCCTCGTAGAGAGACAGCATTTTATTCCCCAAGTACCCAAAAAGCAACCCTCTGTCTGCTATCCTCCATAGAATTATTGGCTCTTTTTCAGCTCTCCCTCTCTCTCTTCCTGCAAACTGCAATCGCCTTTTGTCTTAATCTTATCTCATTTCCAACCACCCACTTAGCCCTAAACCTTTTGTGTTTCCATATAAAGGATGCAAAGCTGAATTACACTGCTCTCACATCTATGGACCACTTTGGTTTATGCAAATTACTCATAGCTCGATTTGTTGTTTTTTGGCTGCCACAAAACATATTCTGCTTGAGTTTGATTATTAACTTTCAGCATGCAACTTTTTTGACTACTTTCATCTCATCATGTTTTACCTCTCCCAAAGATTATATATCTCTCTCTATAGCTTCCTTTGTTTTTAATTTGCTTGCTTTTTCGGTTTTTGAGATATAGAAACTTTAGTTTATTATCCTCCCTATGGTAGATTCTTATCGAAATACATAAAAGATATTACATTCTCCCTTGAGATCATAATAGCAATAAAGTTATTCTTCATACTTGCATTGTTAATTTCCATCCTTTGATATTCTTTACTTTGGTAAGATTTGGTGTTTGAATGCTTGCATGCATGCAGCCTGTTGAAGAATATATTTAAGATGATAATCAAAACTTAATTTGAAAAACAGGAGTTAAAAGGGAAAATATATATCATAACGCTACACACACACACATTTTAAGACTTATCCACTGTGTAATTATAGTGTTTTTCATGAGAACTCATTGTGACGTTTTCCCATGCAGAATAGTTAATGAGAGGGCAGGATTAGACACAAGTTTGACCAACTGTTACAGCAAGGAAGGCTATGGGACCTCACGTAGTCACATTAATTTGACCTTTCTTCTTGCGAGGTGTGTATATGATTGGAAAATTCATCATTATATAACTTTACTTTATAGAATTATTGATAGTACTACTGTAAAAGAGAAAATGATATAAGGTATCAGTGTTATAATAATGCTTCGTACTGTGGATGCTTGAACTTGGTGTATGCCTATGAATGATCCATATTCGATTCTTGAATTTTGAATTTGACTTAAATAGTTCTATGATATGAATAGACTTGCATATATAAGAAGCTTAAGCTAATTGATATCCTTTTTTTATAACTCAGTGAACTTGTAATGTTCATCTCTTTCTTTTTCTTTGTTAATAGACTTGATCTTTAAATATATACTGGTTAATGCAGAATTAGTCTAACATTAAATATATGCTTAGTAAATCAGTGAACTTAAAATATCTAAGAATATCTGCTGCTCGAGAAAAGAAAAGGAGACACAAACCCAAAAAAAAAAAAGGGAAAGGAAAAAAGGGTAGATTCCTATGTAACTTCCTTAAGCTGTTAAGCATTAAAAGAAGCCAAAAGAACTCTGCTATGTTCTGTATTATGAGTTTATAACAAAGGGCTAGTGCTTCTGTGTTGAATGCATATGGAAAGAGCATTCAAATTGTAAAGCTTCAAATTAAAGTTCCGAGGGGAATGACTGAGCAAAGTACTGGTGTGTCTATATATCTATATGTCTATATATAGATATAAAAGCACCCTCTTCAATATATACTCCTTTTTTAATTCTATTATTCTCCCCCTTTATGGTGTAAAGTGTATATATTGAAAAATGAATAGTATCGTATGGAAAAATATAAGTTGTAAGCATGAATGATTCTTAACAGTTCCTGGGAAGGTCAACCTTTTGAGGTTAGTTAAGTAATTACAATTGACGTCTCTCTCTCTCTCTCTCACTTTAATTTGCAGTCAAAGTCATGGGTATGATCTCTAGGTCATTTAACTTTCCTTGTGAAAAGCTCATTTGCGTGTATGGAAATGAATACATCTCATTGAGACCCTTTTGGAGTTTAATGGCTCTTGTCATTTACCTCTTTCTCTCATTATTGTTGAAAGTTTCATCATATGATCAGATTAATTAAAAAAAAAAAGCTAAAAACAGTGATAGAAAGCTGTGTTTAATTTATGTATCATAATAATGTGTGATCAAGTGGGGCACCTTGATGTTTATTCTTTGAGCCCTCTTTTTTCCCCACCTTTATATTGTTCTTCTAAAATAGAGAGAGAGAGAGAGAGCTACAATTATGAAGATTTTAATTTGCATAGTTGATTGAGAGTGAGAGTTTCTTAAGTATTTATTTTAATTATAACGGTTGTAATTAATCAGTTGCTTTTCGTAAGGAGTCAATGAAAACAGTCATTTTAGTATGTTTTTGTTGACCATTCCACTCACTACAAAGTGGACGTACATAGAATGAAAAATAATTAATGAAATGCTAAAAATGATTTTGAAGATCAGAAACATTTTAAACAAATATTGTTGAATAATAAATACAAATACTATAACTTTTTTTATTAAATGATTTTCATCCTTGTACCCATTGTAACCAAATAAGACTCGAGATTTCTCCATGTCGATGGTGCGATAAAAATATGATTCATAACTCAAAACAGTATAGGTTTGAATCTAGTTGTTGATACCGAGACTTTTCATTGATAGGTGATTTTTAAATAATTAAATATTTTTCTAATATTTTTTAAGCTGTGAAATAGACTTGTATGAGTTTTTGAAACTCAATTCATCGAAATTTTAATTTATGCAATAATGAAAAAAATAATGACATATTCAAATATTAATAATTGTGTTAACATTTGAATTAAGAAGGTAAATTAATGAAAATGCATTTTAGCTAGTTTCAACCCAATCTCCATAGCATTAAAAGAAGAAGAAGCATTAAGTAGATAATAATTAGCCTGATTTTGGAGTAATCAATGCCTAAGACCGTTTCCATCAACAAAACAAAAAGGATCAAGTGTATGGTTTTGATTGAAAGAAGAAAAAAGGTAGAAGGAGGGAGGCCAAATCATTGGAGCATTATATTTAATTTCAAAGTTTAAAAAAATCAAAAAACAAAAGCAAGAACATTGCTTGATTTTTCTCTACTTGGAAGAAAAGGATCCCTTTATGGATTCAACAATATGTGAAGCTTAAATCAAGGGATTGTTTGGTTTTGGTTGTTGGAGTCAAGGTTTAAGAAATGAGAATCATGTCTCAATTTAAGCATGATATACAATTTATGTTATAGTATCATCTTTCTCATATCAATATCATAAGTGCGAGAATCAATGTACTCTTTTTTATGCTTAAGACGTGAAAAATTATTTTCTAAAAAAGAAAATGGGATAGATATATTTTTCTTTTTTTTTCAAAATTTTTCTACTCACCAAACACTACATAATAGATCCCATGAATTCTGACTTCTAATTTCAAGAAATTTCATTTTAACCAAATCATCCATCTTCCCTCATAAGAACTTCTTTATATGTGTGTATTTGTGTGCGTGTGTGTATGAAAAAAAAATTTAAGTAAGTAAGTTAAGTTCTAAGAATTTATTAAGGTTAACGCATGCTTTCAAACTCAAAATACTTACA